GTGATATTGTCTTGTATTTAATTCGACGGATTGAATTAAAAGTTTATCGTTTAAGTTTACAGATACCAAGCCAACAAAAGTGGTGATTTCTGCCAGAACTTCTAGCTTTTAGTGGATGAATTTTGATCACTATCTTACACTACAACGAAATCATATTCAACAACACTCTGAAAATAGAAGTTACTTATCAACTAACTATACTTGTATAATGTGCTATCCACCTCCAGAAGAAGTATCTTTACCGTTCAAATATTTTTAGAATTGGAATAGCGCTGAATTTGGTGCTCTTGTGTATACTGGAAAGACAGTAACTTTGTTCAATCAGTATTAACAACATTTTAGTGAATTACAGCTCATTAAAACTCTTAAAAGATAAGCCAAATTATTGTTATATAGTTAACCTTAATTAACCCTTTTGATTTTTGATTTGTCTTTGACTTCATTGCTATTCATATATTAGAAGAATATTTATTATTCTGTCAACTTTGAATGCCCTATAGCAACTGAATTATAACCTTTAGTACTCCTTTCATTAGAACCCTCAAGAAGAAACATAATAGATACAGATCAATTTAATGAATTTATTACCCAGCTCACAAATTCTATTAATTAACTAACTCAGTAAGTTCAAAACAGACCAGCACTATGACCACCTGCAAGGAAAACCAATTTAATCCCAATAAAATGTTTTTCAGGAAAAAGTGAAGAAGATCCATCTGATTGGATTACCTATTTTGAGAAAGCCGCAAAAGCTAACAACTGGACTAATAAAAGAATGATTAAAATTGCTAAAGGATTCCTCAATCATATAGCTGCTAATTAGTATAAGAATACTACATTTGCTCAAGGTTGAAGAGCTGCTGCAGAGGATAAAGATGATGCCAAGACCTTTGTAGTTAAATTTGTGAACCATTTCTCTACAATTGAATAATAAAACAAATGGCATTATGAACTTAATGATTTTCTTCAAAGAAGAGATAAAAAAGAAGAATCATATTCTAATAGATTTAAGAGATTAAGAAAAAAGGTAGACTCTGATAGTGATCTACCAGAACCTTATGTTATTAGATTATTCTTAAAGGAATTAAAAAAGGATTTAGTGTAATATGTTACTACTAGTAAACCTGCAGATATTAATGAAGCAATTTAAGAGACTATTGACTTTGAAGCTGAGTTTATTTTAAAAGACAAGCTAAAAGACAGGAACGTCAAGTAGATTTAAAAGCTAGAGCTTCTACTGATGATGCTCTTGAAGCCTTAACAAAACAGATGGAAAAGCTAACTCTTAACTATGCTAATATTATTTTAACCTTAAATATTTAAACCTAAATGAGACCTAAAATCACAGAATAAAAATCAGATAAATTCTAAATCACTTGTTTTAATTATCAAAAGAAAGGTCACTACTCTAAGGAATGTGACTTGCCTCCTAAAAAGAGAAAAGATGCAAATATAGTCGAAGTTTATTTTAATCTTGATTCAGAATATGAAGAAGAAGATTATGAAAAGATTTATGCTACTTCAAAAGTAAGGGTTACTCCATATATTACTAACAGAAGGGATGTCAAAGAAAAAAGTAAAAGGATGTCTGAATCTCAACAAGAAATGAGATTGAGAAATAGAAATATAAGTAAACCAATTCCTTTTACCACTTTGATGAATATTAAAGAAGGGATTTCAACTCGAAAGGGTAAGAAACCTTGAAGAAAAATACTACATACTTCCTCTACTATTGACCAATTAATCTCTTATAATGTCGCTGAAGATATTTTAAACTTACCTTTATCTGTAAAACTTAGACAATGGTTAAAATATCCAGATCAAAGAAAAAACTTAGCTAATGCCTTAAAAAGAGCTATCATTAAAGAAACTAATAATGTTGACCTTGATGACGAATATATGAGTGATAATAATAATACTTCTATAACTGTGGTCAGATGTACTATTTAAATTAATCATAGTAATATACAAGCTATTCTTAATTCTAGTGTAGCAATCAGTACTATTACAAGTAGTTTAGTCAAATGACTTAAATTAAAGATTGATAAATCATCAAAAATAATCATCAATACTGCTAATGGAAAAAGAGCTAAAGCTTTAGAAAAGATCAATACCGTCAAAATGACTATTGGATCCATTTGAATGCTAATAACTCTACAAGTCATTGAATCTTCTGATAAAAACTTGCTATTAAGAACTGATTGGTTTAAAAGAATTAAAGCCATTCTTGATTTTGATAAAAGAAAAGTGAAGTTCAAATATCTTACGAAATCTGCCTTTGTTCTAATTACTTTTATGACAGTTCTTCTGTTAAATTAAATGAAGAATCTGATATATCTATGGATGAACTAATTGATGTAATTGAAGATTTAACTTATAATGACCAATATGAAGATGAAGATCTTGATAAACGAGATATTTTTTATTTTAATAGTGAAGAAAACTTCTCTGACGAAGAAAATTTATTTGATTTTGATGAAATTGAGCTATTTGCCAACCCTTAGGATGACAATCTAGCAGTATTCTTAGCTAAAATTGAACAGCCAAAGCCTCAAAATAATGCATGAAATATCCAAGAAGACTTATATATTGGATCCTTAAATGCTAATCAACAAGAAATTTTTGAGCAATTCATTGAAAAAAATAAAGATATCTGTATCCTTAGTCAAACAAAAATTGGTTATACAATTTTGTTTCAACATCAAATTCCTACAGGAGATTATGAACTAATTACTAACCCTGCATACCATCTAAAGGATCCATCTAAATTAAAATTCCTTCAAAAAGAAATTAAACAAATGGAAAAAATGATATTATTCAAAAGTCAAAAAGCCCTTGGGTTTCTCCAATCATTATTTTATCTAAGAAAACTGGAGATGTACGCATCTATATTGATTATAAGAAACTTAATGCTATAATTAGAGCTCTGAATCAGATCAGGTTAATCTGACTCGATCTGATAAAAATTCAGGTCAACCAATCATTCTTCTTAAATAATTTATTATCGTTAAATTAGAAATAACAAAGTTGATTAAATAAATTAATAATTGTTTATTATATTATTATTTATATTAAATATTTTTTTTTTTTAGTTGCTGTATCCAGTACATAGAAATCTGTAAACAGAGTATTTAAGGAGTATCGAAGTGATATTTTCTACACCTAAGAATTCCACAAGGTCATGTCTAGACTCTAATTCTTATCAGAACTCGCCCTGTAATACTGGTCTGAAGATTGCCACCTAGGTCGACTCCCTAAGAGCTAACCTTCAGAGTACCTAGACCTCAGAACTACTGTCAAATTTGGATAGAGAAATCACTTTCAGCTACAGGTATTTTTGTCAATTTTTTCCTGTTTTTACCAACATCATATCTGGATACTATTACCTCTGCCCAGTATCAGGATATATTTTTACATATGATCGGGAAGGCTTAGATGTTATCATCTGTATAGAACCTCAGAAAAGTAGGTGGTTGTCATATCCATATCGTCAAATTCACCCAGGAATTGAACCTGGCCTCTACCCCAAGTGACAGCTCGATTGGATAGTTGCTGCGGCAGTGCAATGCAGTCTATTATCAACTATAATTACCTCAAGGATATCTCAAGATATCACCTAATCTACTAATTACTGGTTAATCACTTCTTTACTTGTGTAAGGGCCTCTGAAATTGAAGACGTAAGACAGTATCCATTATAGGCCTATCAGCATTAGCTAAGTTTCTGTCGATATCTGATTTCATTTGCATCCACTTGTTCTGCAAATTTCAGTATTTAGGCATGATTAACGCCAATCAATGGATCGATCAACCAGTTTATAACGCATATTAGTATATACGCCCACATATTCAATTACATATGAAATTCTTATGAAAATCATCTAGTTTTATGCCTCAGCTGAGACTTGAACCTATGGCTATTGCAGTGTAACCTACAATAGGAGCTCAGTTATTACCAACTGAACTAGGGACACTAATCCCTTTATATTAAATATTTTTTTTTTATTTTAAAGTGCAGTAGTTTCACATAATTTTTATTATGATAAAGTATAATATAAAGTAAAATACAGATCAAGAAGAAAAATGAAAATCTCATACAGAAAAGAAAAACTAGACTATAGAAGACTGACCCTACACTCCCCTGGATCAATTCTAACCTAAGCTAAATCTATCACTTTCAAGTATAATGAAAAATAAAACAGGAGAGGACTTGGCCACTACTGCACTAAAAATTCGTCCAGTGGGATCCAAGTTTCACCATGGTGTTTATCGGATCAGCATTATTGTTATTGGTAGGAATACTGTGGGAAAGATCAAAACCTGAGGAAATGAAGTTATCTATTTTATTTTTGAGGTTAATGTTTGTAGCTTTCTCAATGACGGATTGACGGTTGCACTTTTCAATCCAAAAACGTTGTGATTCTTCATAAATGAAGTACATGAAAGATGAACATGCAGCTAACGCTGTGGGCATGTGTGGAAGATTATTGTGAATGAGTTCAAAGAGGGTGGTAGGAACAATGCCTTTAATAAGAACTACAAAGGAAAAGGAAGTTGAGAGGTTCCACCAATTAAGATTGTCAATATCAATTGAATGTGCATTTGTAATAACTTTAAGGTAGTCTTTAACTCGTTGTATAAGCAGCTTCATTTGATAGTCAACCATCAGACAAGTCCATATATGGAGGAAGTCCTCGTCTGCAGCCTCATATTAGAGGCACAGGGCTGAGGGCGGGAAAAGAGACGGATGTCTAATTTTCAGAATTTTAACAGTAGGAAGCATTTCCAGCAACCGTTAGAACTTTTTTATTCTTGTAATAGAAGCTACATATGATGTGTGATTGGTAGCGACATTATCATTGAAGCAGAAAGAGGTAACAAACCAATTAATTTTGAAGAATGGATGATATTTTTTGAGTACATGCAGAGATAAAATTTGCTAAATATGCTTGTATCGGAAGATGTCTTTTACAAGTTGTCTAATCAGTAGAAGAATGGGTTAGTTGTTTTAATTAAAGAAGCTTTATGGAGCAGCTGTCGTATCCAATTGCAATACAAGAAGAGTGAGAGCGTCTTTTGTCATAGTATCTACTTTGTTATTCAAAAGATTATTTGAATGCGCTTTGACTTTTATCAAATGAATGTTCAAGTTGTGTACAGAGATCATTTCAAAAAGACAAGACCAAAGCACGAAGTTGTTGATTTTTAGAAAAGGTCTGTAAGTGGGGGACTGCTCCTTGAAGAGACTAAATTTGTTGAACTGTGATATGACAGTAGCTGAGTCAGTATAAACTCTGACTTTACAATTTGGAGGGCAGTTAGGAGAGTTGTAAAAAGAACTGCAAATTCAGGTATTGATGATGATGGAAAGCTAGAGATCAAGGCAGTGCTGAAGGAAACCATAGGCGAATTTTAGTGGGATTGTAGCCAAACAAGTCCCATTTTGATTGAAAGAAGGCCTATATTTGTAAGGGAACCATCTGTATAAATTCTAACTTGGTAGCAGAGACAAAATTAGAAGAAAGTGTTAGTAGTTCTTCTTTGTGTGGAGAAGGAATAAATCTATCTATATAAAAAGTGTAAGTAGGGAGAGGAACAGAGGGCGGTACATTAAAAATATTGGGCTGAGAGGACGCAACTGCACAAGTCAAGGCTAGTTCATTTAGAGCACCAATGGATAATGCTATAGAATTAGAACTGTCATAATAAATATTGTGAAATGCTGCACAGTACACACAAGGGATACTGACATGGCAGTGTGATTTGTTTGTTGGAAATGCATTCTGATTATGCAGGGGACAACAGAGACATAGGGTCAATTTGGTACTATAATCAGTTGCTTTTTCGAAATTATAATGTCTGAGATGCAAACTATGTTGGTCAGCATGGGTGATACGTCTAATGACGAAACTGTTAAGATTGAATATCCAGCCTACAGCGTATGATCCATAACCAGGGGTAAAATACTGCTGCATTAATGTGTAGCCATACATAATGTTATGCGAGAATATTCTGGTGATAAATCTGTCAGGTGATGGTTGTAAGTACTGTTCCATAATGGTAAACCATTTGGGGGTTCTGACAAATCTTGTTTGTTGATGCGTAATGTGAATGAGATCTTTATAGGAGAACATGTAGTTACCAACACAATTTACTAGTTGTTCAGCATAAAGAACTGAGCATTTTCTGAGATCCGTTACATGGTTTCAGTAGATCGGTTTAATGAAATCTGAAATCGGGATGGCACCTCCAGATATCAGATTGTTTGAGCTTAACGGAATGCTAAGGTTAATGTTCAGGTTGTTTAAAATACTAAGCAGAGCTGAGAGCCAGTCATCTTTAGCCCTCTAAGTATTATATGGCCAATATACTAAAGGCGAGATATACAACTATTCACAGGTTTACAGTTGTCTAACACGAATTTTGAAAGTGGAGCCTAATAAGTTAGGTTCATTGGCCATCTGCAGAAGAGCACTGCTGAGATTCTGAATAATTCTTTGATGAAGAGGAGTAATATTATAAAAATAGTGTGACAGAAAAAGCAAGGACGGCATTTTTCGTGAGAAATGCAATTTGGAGTGAAGGAAAGCTACATATGAAGCCATGATTCAAACACAATGCTTTTCTGAAGGGAGTGTAAGTTGCGACTTATATTCTATGCGTGGCAGAACAACCGTATTGAATATATATGTAAGATGAGCGTCT